GGAAAGTATCATCAATTCCAGTTACTCGACTTCCGACATCCCCAGACGACACCTCTACGTAAGACGGGAGAGAAAGAATACGTTTTGGAATTATGGCACGGTCCTACTTGGGCTTTCAAAGATGTGGCTTTACAATTTTTGGGCAATTTGTTTGCTTATTTCTTAGAAAGGAGGAATGTGGATGGGGGGAAAGAAGGTTTGACTATAGTTGGAGCTACTAGTGGGGATACGGGTAGGTGAGTGTGTGTTTTTCTTTCGTCTTGTACGTTCCAGAGTCAATCCCTTGGCATCGATTTGATCAACGTCACGGCTTTTGCTCTCTGTCTTTCCCTTAGTTTGAAGCTTCAAGAGTGGGCCAGGCCGACTGGGCTTGATCTGAAACGCGTGACCGAAGTGCTCAGGATGTATACGTGGTCGCAGTGTACACAAGAGTGCCCAAGAGCGGGAAGTTTATATTTGGACTGACTTTCGATTCACTGTGGATGACAAAGCTAGCAGGGCAGCTTCGGGTGAATATGAATGTCGCTCATCTCAGCGCTGCCATCTATGGTGTCCGCGGGAAACCCAACATTACAATATTCATACTCTACCCCGACGGTCGTGTCTCCCCTATCCAACTAGCACAAATGGCTTCCGTACCCGATCCCAACGTTTTCTGCGTCGCCGTTCAAGACGCCGACTTTGACGCTTGTCAATCTATAGTCAAAACTCTTTTCTCAGATCATAAATTCAACTCTGCTCATCGACTTGGAGCTGTAAATTCTATCAATTGGGCACGTATCCTCGCCCAGATCGTCTATTACTTTCACGCTTATCTCCAACTACCCGCAGAAGCCAGGAAAGATGTAAGATTCGTCGTTCCGACTGGTAACTTTGGGGATATCCTCGCTGGATGGTATGCCAAGAAATTAGGATTACCAATGGGTCCTTTGGTCGTAGCTACCAATGAAAATGATATACTTGAGAGATTCTTCCGTACGGGTAGATATGAGAGAGAAGATCATTTACCTGAAGTGGAACAGAGTTCAGAGACGGCAGTTGTCGACGGTGGATCGGATGGGAAACAAGGGACGAGCGCAAGTGGAGTAAAAGCTACTCATTCGCCGGCTATGGATATTTTGCTTTCGAGTAATTTCGAGAGGTTGTTGTTTTACTTGGCTTTGGAACAGACGGGAAAGAGAGAAGAAGCACAGGAAAAGTTGAAAGGTTGGATGGAAACTTTGAAACATAAAGGAAGAGTGGATATCGGTCAAAGAGCGAGAGATGTTGCCAAGGAAGATTTCTGGGCTGAAAGGGTTTCTGATGAAGAGGTGAGTGAAGATGCTAAATTACCCCTGGTCACAGTATGATCTTCTCAGCTACACTGCGGATGAATCACTCGGTATCACCAGTATAAATTTGGTCATGTATAATCGAATTTAGTGAAAGGATTGCGGAGACAATTTGTAGGGAGCTGAAATTTAGACATTGGAAGAGATTGCCAAGTATTACGAGAAAAAAGACTTCGGATCATATGTCGTTGATCCTCATACTGCTGTAGGTTTAGCTGCACAATCTCGGTCAATGAAGAAAGCGTGAGTTTTATTTTATTTTAATCATCCTATCACTAGTACTTTCCGGAAGTATACCGTAGCATACTTCGTATGAGAATGTGTGTTCAACAATTATTCTGCCTCGAAACAGACAAAAGTCAGCGTAAGATCGAAAGCTTGACTTCAAGTAAACAAAACATGATACTGACATGACAGTCCTGAAGCAACTTGGGTAACTCTCTCTACTGCCCACCCGGCCAAATTTAGAGAAGCAGTCGATTTAGCTCTCCCACCTGATCTCTTCCCCTCTTTCGATTTTGACACTCAAGTGTTACCTGATCCTCTACGGGAATTGGATGGGATGGGAAAAAGAATCTACAAAGTAAAAGGTGAAGAAGGAGTGAGAGAATTGATAGAAAGTGTTAAACGTGGTGAACAACCCCCGGCCAATGGACATGCCGGATCCATATAGACTTTCATCCATTTGTTAACTCTAAGTCGAATTGGCATGAGAATATCCGTATGTGATCAAGAATGTCAAAGTATGAAATCTAAATATCTGAAAAGTTGGAGTAAACACATTATGGACAAAATGCATATACATGCTTACAACAATTTTCATCACATTGTCCATTTAGTCTCAAATAACACTCCATGATGAAGTCTCAACTTGGATCATCTCTTGAGACCAGGGACGAGTCCATGACCTGGTGTCGGTCCAGGAGTGACGGGTGCCCAACCGGCAGGAGTGATGGGATGGTTCACATTACCCGGTGTGGCGGGATAAGTTGGGATTCCCGGTGTGGTAGGAGGGAGTGTGGGTTGGGATTTTGATTGAGGTAAAGATTGAGAAGGGTCAGAATGAGAATTAGGGTTTCGATGAGCTTCTCGAGATTTCCAAGCATGTCGAATAGAGTCCGTGTGGGCTAGTAACTGATTGTAAGCGAGGTTTCTCCATACGACTTCACATTTACAGCAACGATTGTGATCAACATGTAAACTTTCACAGATTATCATTTTAAGATTGGAGGAGATTGACGATGTGTCAAGTAAGGAAAGGCAGTTTCTTGTTGGGTGGAGTTAGTGAGTATTGTAGGGACGAGGAAAGGAGAAGGGAAGGGAATGAGAGAATCATATGAAAACACACTCACAGCCTCAATTTCTACACCATCTTCAATGCTCACGAGTATCTTCTCCATTATACTCTTATGATTTGCATGAGGTTTATCATCCCTTAATCTCATCATTTTCCATGTACCTTTTGAAAAATCCCAGCAAACTTCAATGATACGATCGTCGTATTGCTCGTTTGTCTCTTTCATCCTGCTATCGTCGGCACATGATCATATCTGACAAAAGTAGAGGTCATGCTTTTGAAATCAGAATTGACTGGATTGAGGAAATGAATCTTTCAGTGCAAGGTGCAAATTGATCTTTCTGAGAAGAGGGAAGTTTAATCCAAGTTGTACTTTCTGAGAATAGGGAAGTTTAATCCAAATTGTACTTTCTGAGAAGATGGAAAGTTTAATCCAAATTGTACTTTCTTAAGAAATGGAAAAGCAACAGAAAGAGGGGATATGATTTGATATAGATTTAAGGACAGAACATATATCCCGATGAAGAAATACAGACTCACCTCTCCCACTCATCATCATCGACATCCATTATATCATAGAATTCATATTCTTCCTTTCCCAACCAAGTATATAGATGGAATTCTGGTTTTGCGTAAAAATCCGGCTGAGAAGATCCCGGACGGTCAGGAGGGAAACGAAGTTCGAGTTTGAAATCTATAGAGTTTTCCGAAGGAGGTTTCCATTTGAGACTGAAGATTAGCAAGTGGTGTCTTGTGGTACAGATGCCAGATAGGGGAGAAGGGGGAATGTAAGTAAGATTGATAACTTACATTTTCTCATCTGTCCCTGAGACATACTGTGACTCGGCACAAGTAAAGATGAGACCATCGTGTCCATGTTGAAGTCTGGGTATGTGGACGTTTAACACTTGTTTAATGTGATATGACAATTCTTGCTCCTTCGCAACGACACTGTACGTCAGTCAAATATTTCAACTCCTGGCAACGTGGTCGAAGTCTCTCGTAACCATTACAGAGTCAAAAACTTGCCGAGACGGAGAGGAAAGGAACTCACTCGAAAGGCAGAGATTCCCTCCATTCAGGATACGCTTTCAACGCTTTCTGCCATGGTTCGATGACCCACACTTTGAGTCGCTTTGCGTCAGCAAGTTGTATTTTTGGAACCACCACTCACTCCATAACGTTTAGCCATGGGTTTCTGCATGATATTCTCTCCGTTGAGCACTAGACAGTCAAAAGCGTACAACCTGAGGGTTTCGACATTGGTACGAGAGTCGTAGTCAAGGACCATCTCTCCATCCAGAAGAGTTTCTTGTAGAGGTTGATCTGCTTTTTCCCAATGAGGGAAGTGAAGGTCTTGTATTCGGAAATAACGTTGTTTTCGATCAATCTGGGGTATTAGCGAGAGTTGAAGAACCCCCCATCACCAAATAACCATGTGATACCAAGGACGTATTATCGACAGGGTAGTGAAACTAGGTCGGAGATATGTAATGAGACGTACCAACCAAACCTCTTGCTGCTGACTCATCTTGTTGTACACTATGAATACCAATACCCTCACACCATCACTCTTCTCACATACCCAGAAATCCATCTTCTCGAGCATTTCGAGGGAGGCGACGGTGAATGAAACTGGTTGCGAGCCAGGGAATCTGTTATTTGATAGACCGCATAGCTGAGAGACACGTTCGGAAAGGTGGTAGTGCGTCTCCTGATCTTCCAAGAGCGTTCCCGGGATGTCGGGTACACGAGAGAGCATCGCGGGTAGTCGAGAGAAGTCAGCAGTCGGAGGAATGAACGGAAGGAAGCGACACTATTTGGGCGAGCGGGAATGAGGGGAGCAGTGACAAGTTGAGAACGATACAGGAAACTCTGAGGCAGTCGATTAGGTGCTTATAAGAGGGTACTTAGATGATTCGAGATAGGTGTGATGTTTGTGAGATATAGAGTGTTGTAGATTTCAACTGAAAGAAGAAAGTGTGACAAGTTGTGTGTGATCGTAACAAAGTCAACTTAAGCGAAATTAGCCACCGAAATTTGATCTAAAATTGAGAACAAAGCCGATTGTCACATTCAGTAACTTCTTTGTCTCTTTACATCAACTTTCTCAATGCCCCCCAAGAAGAGTAAAAAGGCCGCAAAGGCCAAGGAGGATGATGATTACTGGTTAGTATCGATATACAACGTAGTGTCACACATCACCCCAGGACTGTTCAGAAGAGTCGCCACTGACTTTCCAGGGAACAGAAAGCAGCTGCCATTGACCAAAACCTCGCTAAAGACGACGATGCTCAAGCTGTCCCCAATAAATCCGGTGGCAACGTGTTTGACTTGCTAGATGAGGAAGAGGAAGATGATGGGGGTCTCATGGCTGCCGTCAGAGCTGCCAGTGCTAAGAAGGATAAGAAGAAAAAGAAGAAAGCCCAAATCGGAGATGAGGATGACGAGATGGAAGGGAAAGGTAGTGGTGTACAAACTCCAGCGGTGGATACAACTGCCAATCTGGACGAAGAGTGGCCAGAGGAGGATGTGAAACCCAAGAAAGGCAAAAAGGGGAAGAAGGGGAAGAAGCAGATGGAGGAAGATGAGGATATGAACGACGGTGATGTCCAAACTGTCGTATCACCCACCCAGCCTGAAACGGCTGTGAATCTCGACGACGAATGGCCAGAAGAAGAGGTCAAAGGGAAGAAAGGAAAGAAGGGCAAGAACGTCAAACAGTCGGTTGAAGAGGAGGAAGAAACGACACCAACTCCAGTGGCTGCACCAACACCACCTGCACCCGAGACTGTCATTGCGGAGGATGGCGCAGAGGAGGAGGATGGTCCAAAGGTGTGTCTTACCCTTGGTCGAGCATAATTGACTTTCAGATCTTATCAAAAGCCCAAAAAGAGAAATTGAAGAAGGAAAAGGAAAAGGTAAGCGACAACCTGTACGCGAATTTCACTGACCACGCAGGCAAAGAAGAAGGCCCAAGCAGCAGCAAAGAAGGGGATCGCCACAGGGGAAAATGTTCCAGAAATCGCATCAGGCCCTGCTGAGTCTGTAGAGCCGTCTTTAGCTCTAGAACCCACAGCCGCGGAGGAAGAAGATGGTGACGGTGAAGGAGAAGGCGAGGCTGCTGCAGGCGACAAGAAGAAGAAGAAAAAGAAGAAGCCTGCTGCTAAGGCCGAGCCTGTCGCTCCTGCCGCTGCCAAAGGTAAAAAGGTCCCTGCTCACATCGCTGCCATTCAGGCGGCTATGGAGGAGAAGCGAAGGATAGAGGAGGAAGCCCGCCGTGCTGAGGAGGAAAGATTACGGAAGGTCGCAGAAGAAGAAGCGAGGCTCGAGGCGGAAGAGCAAAAGCTTGCCGACCAAAAAGCTGCGAAGAAGGCAAAGGAAAAGGAAAAGCTCGCAAAAGCAAAGGCAGAAGGTCGATTGTTAACTCCTGCTCAGAAGAAGGAGAAGGCAGCTGCTGAAGCGAGAAAGCAAGCCATGCTGGCGAGCGGACTCAAAGTGGCCGGTCTGACAGGGGGAGGAGAACCCAAAAAGGTGACCTACGGAAATAAGAAAAAGCCGGCAAAAGGGAAGGAAGCTCAAGTATCTGGACCATCTTCGCCCATCGTCAACGAACCAGCGCCCGAGAAAGCTGCTGAGGCGGAGTCAGTTCCCGTTGTGGTCGACGAGGATGACTGGGACAAGAGCGAAGAGGATGCCGCGGCAGTAGAGGAAGTGGTCGCGGCATTGGACGGTATGAAGGTCGACGATGATGATTGGGACAAGACGGATGATGAAGAAATCCCTCCTCCTCCAAAGTCACAGGCCGAAAGTAAATCGGTTGTGGCCAAGGAGACTACCAAGCCTCCCATCTCAAAACCTCCCGCGACAAAAGGGACAGCTGAATCTTCCGCCGCTGCCAACGGCAAACCTGCCGCGAAACCTACTGCCCAAGCTGTCACCGAAGAATCAGAGTCAGAGGACTCCTCAGAAGAGGAGACCGATTCTGACGAGTATTCTGATTCCTCCGACGAAGACTCTCTTAGACATCGCAAAGAACGAGCTCTCGAACGAATCAAAGCCCGCAAAGCAGCCGCTCAAGCAGCGACGTCCAAAGAGGACCTCCGTTCACCCATCTGTTGTATCATGGGTCATGTCGATACTGGTAAAACTAAACTTCTCGACAAAATTCGGCAGACTTCCGTACAAGAAGGTGAAGCGGGAGGTATTACTCAACAGATCGGAGCGACTTTCTTCCCCAAGCAGGCTATTCTGGAGAAAACTGCGGTGGTGAACAAAGATGGGTCATATGAGATCAAGATTCCTGGTTTGCTCATCATCGATACTCCTGGACACGAAAGTTTCCGTAATATGCGTTCGAGAGGATCATCTCTTTGCAACATCGCCATTCTCGTGGTGGACATCACTCATGGTCTGGAGCCACAGACAATCGAGTCTTTGAATCTGTTACGTGACCGTAAGACACCTTTTATCGTCGCTCTCAACAAAATCGATCGTTGTTACGGATGGGAACCTGTTCCTAATGGTGGCTTCCGGGAAAGTTTAGCGAAACAGTCAAAATCGACACAGTCAGAATTCGATGATCGAGTACGCAAGACTATTCTTGCTTTTGCGGAACAAGGTCTTAACGCTAAACTGTTTGATGAGAATGATGATCTGAGAAGGAATCTTAGTCTGGTACCTACCTCAGCTATCACTGGAGAAGGGATTCCCGACATGCTCATGTTGCTCGTCAAGCTTACACAGGAGCGTATGTCTGGCAATTTGATGTTCATGGGAGAACTCGAAGCGACTGTGTTGGAGGTGAAAGTTATCGAAGGTTTAGGTACGACCATTGATGTGATCTTGTCGAATGGGCGGTTGAGTGAAGGAGACAAGATAGTCCTTTGTGGACAAGATGGACAGCCAGTAGTGACCGTTATCCGAGCTTTGCTCACCCCTCAGCCAATGCGTGAATTGCGAATCAAAGCGAGTCGTCTTCTTTCAATCTTACCAGCTGTCGCTGACGAAAACAGTCCGCATATGTTCGACATCCCGAGGTCAAAGCTGCCTTAGGAGTCAAAATCTCTGCACCTGGTTTAGAACGCGCCCTGGGAGGATGTAGACTATACGTCGCTCATGACGACGATGAAGTCGAGGTTTACAAGGACATGGCTCTGGAAGATTTGTCAGATCTGTCAAGATTTATAAACCCGAAAGCCCCTGGTGTCTGGGTTCAAGCGTCTACCTTGGGTTCACTAGAGGCGCTCTTGGAACACCTCAAATTATCCAAGACGCCAGTGAGAGGATTTGGGATCGGACCGATATATCGCAAAGATATTCTCAAGGCGGGCTTGATGTTGCGTAGAGATGAGACGGCGCATTTCGCTGTGGTATTGGGATTCGACGTGCCTGTAGATGGAGACGCTGCCGACTATGCGAAGAAAGAAGGTGTGAAGATATTTACGGGTGAGTCGGCTCGTCTGGTGGGATCCTACATCTACTGTTCTGTGCATGAGCCAATGGTGGGATGAAAGCGAGATGAGACTGATGATCAGATGAAACGATCTATCGTCTTGGTGATCAATATTTAGCATATTATAACGAAGTTGAAGAAGCCAAACGTAAAGAGGCTATGCCCAATGCTGTTTGGCCAGTCAAATTGAAGATACTCAAAGCTTTCGCCCATCGTGATCCTATCATCCTCGGTGTGGACATTATCGATGGTAGTCTAAGGATCGGGACGCCGATGGGTGTGGTGAAAATTGACAAGGAGAAGGGGACTAGGGATATCGTGGCTTTGGGTAAAGTGTGAGTTTTCCATTCCATGTCATCGACATTTGTCTGAACGGAGTTGTATCGTCAGTTTGGTAAAGACTGATGAACAGTACATCTATAGAGATCAATCATAAACCTTTTGAGGTGGTCAAGAAAAGCCAGATCGGTGCTGGGGCAGCAGTGAAGATTGAAAGAGCTTCTCATCAGACTGCCAAGCTCTTTGGTAGACAGTGAGTCAAGTTTACCCGTAACTAATGAGTAAGGTGTATGGTACTGATATTAGTTTTGACGACAAGGACGAAGTGGTTTCTCTCATTTCGAGACAATCTATAGATGTTCTGAGTGAGTCTGCCCCAGCTTTACCTCTCACATCACCCCTTCTGTGGCAAGCACCGAGCTGCTCGCCTATTAACTCATGTTTCGACAGAAAAGACAGCAACAGTAGAAGAAGCTAATACATCGCAGAAGCAAACTTCCGAGATCAGGTCGAACCTTCCGATTGGTCATTAATCAAAAAGATGAAAATTGAGCAGGGTATTCCTTGAGCAGTCAATTGTACAAGGCCGTTCCCCTTTCGTGGCTCATGTCCCCTGCTTCCATTGGTCCTCGACGAGGATGAACGTCATGAGGGTCGTCATAGTGATGTCCATATGATCCTTGGTCATGATTGATAAACGCATTCACGACGTATGATCAGAAACGATATCAAGTGCATCTTATAGACATTATGATGCATATAGGTTCTGAGGGTTACGTACCATCCTTCCACATGACAATTCCGAATTTACTTCACTTGTACCATTTTCATATTTTCATCTATCATAATTTCCCATTTCTCCCACTTCTTCTTCCAAGTCAGTCCATCTCACAAATTGGGAAGTATGTCATTATCAGACCAAGCTCTCGCTGCGGAAGATGACTTCCCCGATGGTAAGCCCCTCATTCCCCATCTCATCCTGTATCTTCAATAACACCGATCCATCAAGTCCATCTCCGTCCACACTCATCCACACCCATCCAAGTGATGATGCTCATCATCACAATTCCTTTCTATACCAAGGGGTGCTTGTGACTTTTCGAGACGTTCGGAAATACCTTACTTATAATGACCATTAAGCCGATCTAGCTCAGTTGGAAACTCGAAAAAGGAAAAAACACCCTTTGGACAATGGGACCTTCGGAGCACCCGGGACGAGCGTATACGATTATAGAAAGTTGAATATGAAAAGTACTGAAGTGGGTATGTGGGCTGGTATAGTGTTTGGTGCTGGTGTTAGTGAGTTTATCTTTTTCCATTCACTCCTACTATTCAACTACTTACTCGACATCAACTGCTCCACTTCAACTACTCTACTTCAATTACTCTACTTCAGCTACTCTACTTCAACTACATCACTTCAACCGTTCTTACTTTAATAATAATCTTCTACTCCTTCTCACAATCAATCACATTTTGTGGGGCGAGAGTCCCTATATATATGAGAAAGAATACAGTATAATCGGTCGCTGTCGGGGGATGGCAAGAAGACCAAAAGATATGATAATCGTACAAACTGTAACTGTTCAAATGAATGGAATTACTATAAGTTAGGAGAAACTGATCATAGCTTGGGTAACAAAACGATTTGCTCCTTTTCCCGTAGGAAGAAATGGTCTATACCTGACCTTTATACGTTAGTCTACCTCAGATCCTCACATCTCGTGCTGTTTCATGATTGGAGGAGAAGATAGCTAATATATAGTATCCGCCTCCTCACTCTCTTTCCTCATCTCCACACGTCTTCTCCGTACAGGTCTAGCTGACCTCAATCGTCGTCCGGATATCAAAGATAAAGATGATAACCTAGCCGAAGAAACGTTCGAACCTCATACTCCTCAACATGACCCTGCTCCTGGTTCAGACGTCAGGTTCGAACCTGTTATCTTACAAGGTGAAGAGATGAGGGATCCATTCTTCAGACCTGGTATACCTCGACGGCCTGCGTGATTGACCCTTGTCGGGTGTTTGTTCGGATAAGGTCATCATTTAGGCTGACTGCCTACCTATCTGAAACACGTCTCTTCGCACACATGTTATCCACACTTCCAAGTTCCTGATGAGAAGATATTAGATTGAATGCGAGACAGGAATTGTAAATGCGCAACGATAATGGAAATCATGAAAAACATGTACATCATGTAGCCAAAACCCGATCCAATGATCCTCCTCCCTCCGCTGTCTTCTCCCCACCCGCAACATCGTCCTCCGTTTCAATTCCCACGATACCAGTACCATAACTAGGCCTCTCGCTCTTCCGACGTCGATTTATCCTTCTTCCCAAGGGAGAAGGTGTGTTGACACCCCTCGACGAAGACTTGTCTCTCTCACCTGTCCGGCCAGGGGGACTGGAGATGGAAGATGGGGAAGTTGGCATGGTGAAAGACCACGCACGTGAGGTTTGACGTGATGAGCTAGCTATCATGGGAATTGGTAGTGGTGGTGGTTCTGGAGATGACAGAGTGAGGAGGAGATTTTTGAGATTTGGAAGGGTGTGACGTAGCTCAACCAGTCGAATATCCGCTTCTTGCATCAACTATTCATTAGTCATGCATTGTGAATGATAAAGGCCAATAAGACTTACCATCTCGATATTCTTGTTGAGCAGATAAACGGCATATTCAAATCGGTATCGCTCTACGCCTCGGGCATATAACGGAAATCTGACATTAACACTTGCCTTCGTCCAGCTCGAGGAAAATAAGAAGAATAACCAAGAGACGAAGGAGAGGGGCTTGGACACCTACGATCTAGGACCCTGCATCACGCTGACAGCATCCTTGACCAAGCTCCTACTGCCCGCACACGTCACGGGGTACGGTAAACCTCCTTCCGTCCCTTTCAGCTGGTCCAACAGATGGACCACCATTGCTACATATCCCAGCGCAGCGGATGTCGTCCTCTCATCGATCTTCATGCCATCAGGCAAGACGCCAGTGGGCATAGTCAAAGGCGGAGCAGGCTCTTCTGGGGAGGAAGGGATGGGAAGAGGTACTTCCAGGATAGAGTACAGCAGTGTGGAAGGGTTTAAGGGTACAATGGGGAAGAGCGAGTCGAGAGTTTGAACATGCTGTGATCGGAGTAAATGGATAGCTGGGCGAAGGGCTTGAGTTTCTTGTCTGGTCATGAGCCTGATAGTGAAAGTCAGAGTGACGGACGTACTGGATGGACTTCACCTCCGAATGTAACTCTTCCATCCCGCTGCGCCTGATTTCGTCGGCTTCTTCAGCTCGAGCCAGGTTTTCTCTTCGTCTTTCCATCTCCTCTTGCTCCAAAGACACTCTCGACTGTGCTTCCATCGTCGATTTCTCAACCTCCATGATTGCTTTCTTCAGCCATCTGATCCTGCCCGACCGCTCTTCGACCTCTCGGCGCTGAGATCAGTCTTTTCATAATCACTTTTCCACGTTACTTACAAGGGCGCTATTGTCCGTATCAGCAAGCAGGAGAGCGTTGATCTTCCGCTGCACCTGCGCGATCTCTCGCTCGGTATCAGCTATCACAGCTTGAAGGTTGACCAGCCTATAATCAGCACAAATAGACAGATGCCAAGTTATTACTCACTGATGCAGACCTCCTACGCCCAGACTCTGTTTCCTGCGTAACTCTCGTACACTTCTTTGCAACATACTCCGCATGGAATCTGCGTTCTTTGTACCAGTGACATGATGAGATCCACCGAGAGGAAGGTAGAAGACACTCTTGGGAAAAATGGATAGAGTGAATTCGAGTGTGTTGGGTGGTCGGACCGTATCGTCGGTCACTATTCGTAGATCGTCTAGCTGGACTCTGCCTCCCACATTTTCGAGCTTGCGCCATTTCAGTGTTTCAACGGATGGAACGAACGAGTCCTCCACCCATATTTCGACTACAAGCTCACTGCTGGCCATCTCTTGTACGGTCAACCATGATGCAAAGTCAGTCTCCGGTGTAAGGGAGAGGAAACGTGGATGTGTCGATGGTGGATGTATAGAAGAGAAGAAAAAGGGAGTAGTGGGCGTGGGAGTCGAGATGGAAGGTAATGGGACTTTGGTATCGCTTGCAGAACTCGAGGGCCGTGGTGCAGGACGACCAGTTTTGGACTGGCGGAGAGAGACTGATATAGGAGGCAGACTGGATTTCGTTTTCATTGGACTGGCCGACTCGAGTTTCCCTTCGGTGTTAGATAATCTTGCCGGCTGGCCTTTGTTCTTCCCTTGAATGGAAAGCGACGATTGTCTGTTTATGGCAGGTCGATCTCCAACACCAGAGAAGGATGAAGTACTACTAATAGGAGTCAATGGAGGAGAAGGGGTATCAGGTGGTTCAACGGTAGACGGTCGTGATCTACTCTCCGCCGCTCTCGCGGTAGGAGACGATAGTGATCTCGACGGTCCTCGTCCTTGAAGGGGTCGCAGAGGTGGAGGTCTAGACGAGTCGCTTTGACTGTGACTTCTCTGAGGAAACGGGACGCCTCCGTCTTTCTCAGCAATCTTGAGGACCACAAAGCATCTTGCTAGTCGTTCTTGAGTTGCAGTATCCACCTGATCCGAGGTATCCTTTGAGAGAACTGATTCCGCCCATGACCCTTCCTGAGCATGTTCTATAGCTTCCCCAGCGAGTGTAGGCGCTCTCAGACGATAAGACCTGGTAGTGCGATGAACGGGAGACGAAGGACAGATGGTGGAAGAAGACTCTGAACGTGTCCTGCTGGCAACAGAGACCCTACGTTCTCTCCTGGATAGTTCGTGAGAAGCAGTGCTTGAAAGCCGAGGACGGCTACTGTCGCCCAAGTTGTATCCTTCTATTGGGGAAGGTATCTCTGGATCTTGCAGAAGCTTAGATGCGTAAGGTAGACTCTCGGGAAGGGTGAGTTGATGGATGCGTACGCTGGATGTCAGATAGCTGCGAGGTGAAAGAGGTGAGGAGAGCTCACCCTGTGATGTGCCGAATGCGAGGCTTACTGTTTAAGCGTTATTCAGCCACGGAGGATAGAGCTCACCTTGTCTAGAGGGGAAAAGTAGTCATGTTGAGATGTCATGACAGGACCCCAAGCTGCGATGAAGCCAGAGGTCGTGGGCCATACATAGGTAGCTAATTACCAGAAGGGCGGATGTAGGCGGAGGATGAGTCGGGTGGAGGTCACGTGACATGAACAATGCATCATGGCTCATGGAAAGCACTGGGTCCTTTGGTCTCTCTCCTGATCTCCTGAACCATCTCCCACCTTGTCCTTACTTACTTGAATCGCACTTGTCCCATTGTACTCTGCGTCCATCTCCTCTCAGTCGAGTCTGCGGCTCGCAGTCTCGCTTCTCTTGTACCCCCACTGGATCTGTCGCCAGTCCGTAACTCACCTCACCAGCTCCCTCTGTTCCCATCGCCGTCGGCCCTCGGTCACAGGGACGATTGATCATCAGATTCGTTTCCACACTATCTCTTCACCGGCGCACTCTTGAACACCATGTCAAGCACTGCAGGTCCTTCTGCTCCACCCAGAGGTATGCCAATCTGTGAGTTTGCTCATTCGCCAAACCACTCTTCATGCTTATATAGCAGTGTCTGGTCCTCCCCCGGTGGTGGAATCCGACAGTGAGTATCCCCCCCCCCTCTCTGTCCTGAACAGAGTCGACTGCTGAGACGTAGATTGCCGAGCATGCGGTAAACAATTCAACCCGTTATGGCGAAGACCTCATCCTTGTGGTCATTGTGGCTACCAATATTGCTCCGCTTGCCTTGGCGATGGACAGGCTTTGATGCCTCGGAAAGCGGACAGTGGGTCTAGATCATCAGGACCATTGGCAGAGATCAAGGCGGCTTTTTCCATGGACGATAGACCCGCTGGGAGTGGTTATGACGTGGAGGAGGTATGTTTACATTGTCTTGGAATGTTGCAAGGTGAGTGTGTTGTCAAGGTAAAGTCACGGTGCGGAGGCTGACGAAAAGTGACAGCTGCTTCTTTAAACATGTTACGTGCATTACCACTAAAACGATTGAAAGAGTACCTTGCGGCGTATGGAATCGAGTGTATGGGACCTAGGGAGAAAGAAGATTTCGTTCAAGCGGTAGTTAGAGCGAAAGATCCTTCGACCGGTTGTCTCTCCCCCGATGCCGAGGTGAGTTCTCAAGTGCGAGAGAGAAATTGGAGCTTATTCAATAGAATTATTACAGGCGGAAAAGTGTACCAAAGTTCCAACCTCCACCAGCTCCACCACCACCTCAACCTCAACCTCAACAACCCAGACCCACGAGATCTACGGGTAATTATAACCCTTATGTTTCCCCTGGCCCTTATCCTCCACCACCTCAGTATATGCCCAATCAACATAACCCTTATCGACCGCCGCCCACTGGTTGGAGCGTCCCACAATATGCACCTCAACCACAGGCCAATGGTGCCCGACAGTATTACACTCCGGATGGGAGTCAACAGCATCATTATACTCGACCGCCCCCACCTCGTCCGGCTCAGACTCCACCACGACCTAAACCGGCACCTTCACCCGCTCCTGTTCCGGCTCGTCCTCCCACCCCGCCGATCCCGACGGTTCTTTCACTCGTAAGCCTACCAAAGTCATATCTATCATCCTTAACCGTGGGTCAGCTCAAGGGTATTCTGTATGAGAATCATGTCAAGGTGGATTTCAAGCAGGTGTTAGAGAAGTGAGTAAAATTTTTCAGTGTATATGATCTCATGCTGATGGAAAGGGACGAAGTGATAAATCGAGTTTGGGAACTGGTACAGGACGAGAGACATAGGTTGGAGCGACAAAGAGCTGCTGAGGAGGCGGAAGAGAACGGTGGTGTGGTGCCAAATGGGAAAATGCCTGAAGTCTCCTCCGAAGAGAAACAAAGTAAAGTACCTACAGGACCTATGCCAGATCCTGATAGAGGTCTGTGTATAGTTTGTCAAGATGCAGAGGCGACGTTGGCTGTGGTCGATTGCGGACATTTGTGCATGTGTGGTGGTGAGTCGTCAGAGTAACTTACATTCCCCAATGTGATGTTTGCAAAAGGTGGCCTTCGAGCTGACGGTCAGACTGTTCGGATATCATCATGGCCACTAGTCAAGAATGCCCTTTGTGTCGAACAAGAATAGTGACGAAACAACGTCTCATCCGGATTTATCGTCCCTAGTTAACCGGACATGCATCTGCTACAATATCTAATTCAGCTGTGTTACTTCATACAGGGTGTTTACCAAGGTCGTGATCTATCTGTCATCTCCAGAGGACTTTGAAACCTGCTTTGTCCATGTGACAAAACGTATTGACTGTCTCCCCTTTGAGATGAGTGATCGTCGGACGTGGTGATGGGTGGGCTGTCTCTACCTCGAGCGGCGGTGGGTGGTAGGTTGTGCGTAGTGAGGGAACGGGATAATTTGGGCGAAGGGGTAGGGATGGGAGGAGTGAAGTTAGGTTTATGAGTCGTGATTCTCGGTTTGGAACGATCGTTTTGAGTAGGAGGAGGGAAGGAAAGACGGGGAGTACCGAGTTGATGATAAGATCGTAGTTTGTCAGATAATGTGCCGAGCTAGGAAGGTTAGCGAATGTCGCTGAATGTGTATTGGCTATGGAGCGTGAGGCAATAACTTTAGCTGTGAACGGGGTAGATGAGGGGGAGAGAACAGTCGAGTTTGCCAACTCACCCTATCCATAATCTCATCCACTCCTTTTTCTCTATCACCCAAAACATCTTCACCTTTCCCTTTGTTTTCATCTTCCAAAGTCCAAGCTCTTAATCCATCTTGAACTTGTAATTCCACCGGTCTCAAATCTTCCAAAGCTAAATGCATTCTTCCAATTTCTTCCTGAACTTTCAAAGCGTCTTCTAAATGATTTTTGAGTAATCTCAACATATTATCTCCATCAGGTGAAAGAGAAGCTTTGAAGATTTTGAAAATTGATTTTTCTTCTTCTCCTTCAACATCATCTTCTTTTTCCCCTTTTCCCTCTTCTTCACGAGTTTTCTTTTTCTTGATATTCTCATTTAAATAATCATGATGCGATATTCTCTCTTTATCCCGTCCATTCATAGTGGATTTGAGTAGAGTAGAACTCTCGTCATTCGGTCCAAGAGGAGAAGGTAACAATCCTTTGGTTTTAGTTTCAGGTGGTAAGATAGGTTCTGAATTCGTTCTATTTGGAAAAGGTCGAAAGTATTTTGAAAGAATATGATCATGTTTTGTTTCGGGTGGTGATAAAGTAGGATCTATATAAGTTGGGTTTGACATGTTTTGAATATGTTGTTGTTGTTGTTGTTTTGGGATCGTATCTGAAGAAGAAGAATTCATTTTATATCTTTCCCAAGAACCTTCTTTCTTTCTCATGTGTAGATCTGTTTGTGTTTTTGTGTTTGTGTTCGTGTCAGGAAAAGGGTAGAAATGATCTTGTGAATCTTGTGAATCCTCGTGGTTGTATGAACGTAATGGACTAATAGGATTTGTAGTTTTTGATGAAGACGGATCAAGATCTACAAAACTAAAATCATGTTTTTTCCCTTGATCCCCATCTTTTGGTTTTATATCATGGATAAAATCATCATGGTCAAGATTGATAGGGACAAAAGAGGAAGTTGGAGGAGAAGTAGGTTTTGATTGTTGGGTAAAATCATCATGGTCAAGATTGATAGGGACAAAAGAGGAAGTTGGAATAGAAGAAGGTTTTGATTGTTGGGTAAAATCATCATGGTCAAGATTGATAGGGACAAAAGAAGAAGTTGGAGGAGAATTAGGTTTTGGTTGTTTATCAATCAGAGGGATCCTACTTGATTGAGTGTTTTGAGTCATCGGTGTTTCTTC